ACTCGTGATGCTAGCGGGCTGGCTAATCAAGAGAAGAGAGTTGATGAGCAAATGCAGGCGATGATGGCTGACAGGAAGGAAGTCGATGCTCGCATTGCCGCCCTTGAGGTTGGTCGCTGGGCCGCATTGGGTGATGACAACTTTTAGTGTATCAGGCTAAGAAGCGATCGTTGAAGTTGCAACTGGACAAGCTCTCGGAGGAGCTGGTGGAGGCTCAGAGGCAGCAAGTGTTGTGCATGCAGCGCGAGGAAAGTGTCAGAAAGGTAGGCAGACTTGTCACTAAATCTTTGTAAGGCTGGATGGGAGGTTGTCGCCTACACTCTAAACCCGAAAATGTCGGATTTTCATATTTGGAATCGCAATACCATTCTCTAGGGTGTTTATTGTCGTTCAGAGTTTGGCGGACACGAGACAGTCCTACGGTGAGTCTATAAAGGCAGCAGAAGCCGCTGAAGGAAAATACACTCGCCTTCATGACCGCTTTGACGAGGTTAGTCGTTATGTAAGCTTCAACGGGAAGGGGACGTGCTTTGTGGGTTAGGTGGTGACTCTGGCGGGTAACTCGAAAGATATGGTTGCTGAGATCGATGAGAAGGCCAGCGGGGAATTGACGAAGAAGTTATCACGAATCACACAAGCGTAGGTCAAGGAGCGCTTGTTGGTTTATGTGCGGGATAGGTACGTTGGCACGTGCCGAGACCATCTGCGGTTCATCGAAGATCGTATGAATACTGTGTCGATGAATGTTAAGAAGTTGGCGCAGCAAAAGGAGGCTCTCGAGACTGGCAGCTCGAAGATGATGTCTGGGTGAGTAACGAGTGCATGAGTTCACATTTCTAATGAACTCGCTTTGATGGTGTTGTATCGATATACACATGAGGATTATCAGGTTTACATCAGCCGCTGCTTTAACGGGAGTGGATTCCACCAGTACTGGCGGTGCCGACTCAAGCGTATTGAATACGTATACAGCTAGGACGAACGAGGCCACTATGAACCAGATTAAGCAGGTTGGCGGGCGAGAGGTAACGGACGGTCATTTTGTGTATCAGATACGATCACAGATGTTGGAGGAGTCGCGGAGGCTGACGGAGTGTCGACAGGCGGCTATTGATTTCGTACAACCGTTGAAGTCGAAGGTCGATGTGGAGACTTTCAGGCTAGAAGGGGAGCGAATAGAGTCTTTGTGAGTTAACTCTGGGCATTGTTCGATGACGATGGTGGTGGTGTTCAGATATCGCCATACGTTGGCTGTCCTGAAGCAAGCTGAGGTGGATGAAGAAACAGCTTCATCCAATGCCTCGCCGAGTGGTGCAGCACAGAATGATGAAATCCTCGAAGAGACAGCGTCGTTGGGTATGACGACGAGTGAAGAAGAATCGATGAATGATGCCCAACCGGATGTGAAGGTCTGAAGGATGATAACCATTGATCAGTTTTGTCGTTGTTGTGGTTATCGAGTTTGGTTCACATATGCTGAGTGCACTCGGCAGCCTCAGGGCTGTACGTTGGAGGGGTTGATTTGATCAATGGTGAAGAGGTAGTTGACCACCACCATACAATAGCAAGACGGGAGCTGGTCTTGCAAACAAACAGAAATATAAAACCTTTGGCATAGCGGCCCCGGTTGGGGTGGCTATGCCAACACGAGATATACTCCGTTGCAAACGATTTCCCCGGCTAGGGCGGCTATGCCAAACCAAGATGGGCCTCAATGTCCTAAATTCCTTTGGCGGAAGCGGCTATGCCAACACGAGGTATGCCTCATCACAACTGATTTTTCGAGTTGGGGCAGCAATGCCAACACGAGGCATGCCTCTATGTCAACACTTTCCCTGGCCGGGGCAGCTATGCCAACCCTTAGTACAATGAACTTGACAGGAGCACGTGTCACGTGCCACGTGATGGGACTATCAATTCCGTCCATAACTACGGGATCAATTCTGACGAAATGAGTGGCTCAGTTTCACTGCTATCAGGCGTGTTGGTGAAATGCCTTCTGAGAATGTGTGTCCATCACTTCCATAGCACATCGTGGAGCACTTCGCGTCGCTGCGCTGTCTCACCTGTTGAGTCCAATATTTTCTAACCCTACCGACTGGTATAACACATACGTTCAAGATTGTTACCCAGTGGTCGCATAATGACGACTCCACAAAGACCGAATAGCTTGTAATTCTTTTGTGATGAAGATAATAATCAGTGAGCATTTCCATTTCCATTAACGTTCTTGCCATCTTGTTTCATTCGAGCACAATCATCTCCTTTCCGTCCACGTGCCCCTCTGAGGCAATAGTGCATGACCCCCCCCCCACGTCTCGTCTCGGCGTTCTTCCACTCTAAGCATAGTCCATGGTTCTTGACTTTCCGATGAGCTGAGGCTGTCTATAAATTTTCGAACTGCGGCTCGTAAATAAGTCTATCACGTAGATACACATGCACAATTGTGTTGCTACTAAAATCCAGTTCCGCTCATGAAAGGAGTTCCCGAACAGCGACCAGGTCGCTGTGACCTTGGAGAACACTCAATGAGTTTCATCAGTGTTTTCCCTGCAAATGGTTGCCCTTGTTCGTTCCGGTGTATCACTTATGTCTCTTTTGGTTCCGCTGGTAGCCATCAAGTCGTCGCCAAGTGTTACCATCGCGCAAGATGGCCTCTCCAAGACATGCAACATTGAGTATGGAGATCCTGAGGTAACACTCAGAGCCAGTCCTGCTAGCACCCCTCAAGGGAGCTCTATCGAAGCTAGTTTGAAGAGTGACTCCGGCGTGACCCGAGCTATATACCGGTAGGTCCTCCTATCAACTACTCATGCCTAAGCCATTCACTTTTCCACTCATCAGTCTTTCCTACTCGGTTTCCTGCGGTTCATCGTTCGCAAAGCTATTCACTTCCGTTGACATTGAGTATGAAAATATTGTTTTGAAATACGGATTTACCCTTCATGATATCTTCGCCCGTGTTGGTTGGCCTCCATCCTTTCCTTTTGTCAGTGGTGATGGTACTCTCGAGTTCCGTTACAGAGTATTCGCCTTGGATGCGAAAATGATCAAGTGATCCCTCAATACGTTACAAGAGCGCGAACTGTTCAGTCGCCTGGCGATCATCCATTCTTCTCATCTTACAGCCAGTTACGAAGCTACTCCGTAAGGTGTTGACTCGCGCTCTTGTAAGAAAGTAGCCACTTACCTCAAGACAAACTCTCGCGTGCGACTGCTCCACGAATATCTTATTAACCTCAGTAGAGGGAAAGATTCGGAAGAGTGATATGGAGTGGGATGAGTTGTTCATGTTAAGGATGTGTGTATATATCCATGGAGTAGTGTTCAGTGCAAGAGCGGCCAATTTGGGAATGCGCGGCACATGGCGGAGGCCGGCCGCATGTCACTTCTTTCAAGAATCCAGGGTGAATTCACCTTAGTGGGAACTCATAGGCTCCACAGTGGCGATACTGAAGAACCTCGAGACTCTATCGTCCTTACGAACTACAAATAGGTAGCCTCAGACTGCCCATTCATATCAGGTGTTGAGCTAGTCTTGACATGGTGATTTCTCCTTCCGTCGCACTCCCACATCAAGTAACGGCATGCCCAAGCAAACTAGGACGTTCACTAAACGAGCTTCACTTTCCGATGTTGTCACTAACGATCCCCGGATCAACGTCTCAAAGCACTCGGATGAACTCAAACTCTGAAAGCTAGTTCTGCTGGAAAACATGCATATTCGCCATAAGTCTAGACAGCCATCAACGTCTAGACATTGTCACGACTGACGCTCGTCCATGATGATCCCGCGTGATACCTCCTGTAGTGGTACACGTGGATGTTCGGGTGATGGTACTCCGCTGGGAGGACGTCCTTAGTACAGCAGGTGTCTAATAACTGAAGACACGATAGTAACATCCGAAATCAATCACTGTGAGATTCATAGGTGACCTCGAAATGTTCGGCCACTTCCTTCTTCCATAGATCGTCCAAATTGACGCTTCTACTTTTCTGACAGATGTACAGATCGGTGGAGGCGTCTTGTGGACAAGCTCTTAGCAGTGTGGCTACGAATGGCTTCACGAATACTTAAGGGATTGTGTGTAGAGTCTAGCATTCACAGAGGCTTTACATGCGACCAAAGGACGTCACTGGCAATGACCAGGTCAGGAGGAGGAGCTCCCCAATCATAATCTGAATTATCGAGGTCTCTCCAATCGATCACCTGATCGATAACATCAATGATCTGCAAGCCTGCCTCAGATCGTTGCGAATATTGAATTCATCACTATAACGAGCTGATCATCGTCGTTACCTTATAACAACAGCTGTTGCCTCGGCCGCCTGCAATAGCCTTTAAATTGGCATCAATCTGTATGCAATGACTATCAGTCAACACGTATCGCTCATCTCACGTTCATTTCCGTCCGTGGTTTGATAACCGCCCTATCGGATAAGATAACATCACAAGGTGTAGATGTCAGTGCACATGATAGACCAACCACTCCACTGCCGCAGCCAAGCTCGAGGATCTTCAGCCGACCAGCGTTTTTGCTCCTACGGATGCCTTCTAATTTACTCTCCATGTATCTGAGACCGATATAAGGACAATAACAATGAAGCGAACTGACTTAGCCATGCAAATGCCGGCGTCCCACACTCGGAGGCCGGTCTCCCCAGGAGTAGTAGGATGGTCGAGATGGAGATAAAGAGGTGAACCTCAAGCGAACGATGGTAAACCGTGGTGATGAGTATTTCCAATAAAAAACCATTGATTTGAAACTCCCCTTTGAGGAAGTCAATCTGTAAGCTGAGCATCTTCGTCTCGGTAACTCGCCAGTTCATATCTTTCTCAACCTCGCCGTTCACGTGCGAATTCGATGTGTGACCAGGAAAACCCTGAAATGGAGTTCGAACTGTCCATAAGAGAATTGAATTACCATCGGCGCTGCTACGGGAGCCGTGGGTACGAAGGCCGAGGAGGTTTGGTGACTAATGGTAGGAAAATGGCTCCCGATTGGAACCCAGGAGACTACAAGGATGGTTCAATACACTGTAACGGCCTATGTGGTGATGCTGCTGCTGCTGCCAACCATGGTGAGGCGATCGATGGTAAGGCCCGAGAGGATAGACGAGTGGCGTACGAACCCTGACAATGGTAATGATGATGATGACGAGTATAGTAGCTACAACTGGCTGAACGGGGGCTCCTCCAGCCGTGTTGATGCTATCCAGCTGAGATGAAGACCAACCCTCACCGTCGGTGGAGCGTAAAACGCCTACCTTGGTCTTATCGTAGGTGGTGGGGGCCTCGTACGGGGACGGCATTGACTCGAGGAATCGTTGTTGATACATGTGATAAGTGGAGAACAATCACTAATACAGTACATATGAGCGGAAACTGCAACCGGGTCGCCCAGTGGTCAAGCCAGTTGAACGTATAAACCTACAGTAGCGATGAGTTACGGCTACAGTGTGGTATGATTGTATCAGAGCATTTTTACAGCATAAGAACCGGCACTGATTAATATGATAATTCCTGTTATCATCACGGGTTTTCCCGATAGGACTCGCACTTGAAGATCGCGGAGGCTTCCAATGACTTCCATCGTACACCAGGGGGAGCCCAAGGAGGGAGCTGAAACCTGTTTCCACCTGGCTAAGCTGACTATACGATGGCCAATCGTGCCTGTGGGATGTCCAACATACGTTAGCCTGAACGCAAATGGAGTAATAGAAAGTCTATAGCGTCTGAGAATGAAGAGACCTTCAGACTGAGCTGAGTAACGATTATGTGGGACGGTGTAAATCTCGCCG